CCCCTCCAACCTTGTACTCGGCTTTCCCCCCCACATTGAATAGGGAAAAATACCATTTTGTTTCCTCTTCACGCTGTCTCTCAACAAATATTTAGGCTAGCATTTTCTCTTTCTTCCCGACAAGCTGACATTAGTGACCATTTCAAGGATCAGCTTTATATTCTGGTATGAGAACAAGTAAGATGCTATCTTTTTCTGATTGAATTTCTTTTCCCAAGTAACTTGCTTAACCCTTTCTTAGAAATTGTTTGCAGTCACACAGTGAGTCATTTTTCCACACAGGAATACTCATGGGAAATGTCATAATTGCTTCTTTCTTTCCTGTTACTGTTGTTTATACCTGGTTTTAATGTTTAAACTTAGAGCAAATCCTATCCATTCCTGAATACCTCCTGTCTGCCCTGATCACGCCAGTTTACACAGGGCTGGTGCTAGAATGTTGTTGAGTCAGTAAGAAATCCCCCATGTTTGTTTGAGGTTTTACATTAATCAACCCATTCAGTACTGCACATAAAACTAGATGGAAGGGATCTTTGGGGTACTTGAAGAAAAGTATAGGTCACCAGACTTGCATTGTGGCTATGCCGTTATGGATCCCAAAGTCAATCCTTTGTGGCTATAATGTGGAGGCCACCTGTGAGATCTTTGGGATATATCCAAGTGGTAGACTTATATCCCTAACAACTATTTATGTGTCCAAAGCTTATGACACAGGGAACAACACTTGAAATTCATATTATTAAAGATATGTATAGCCCTGAGATGAATCTTTCCTTTTCCTTAATTTCCAAATCAGAGTACAGCTGTGTAGGCAACAAAGTTCTGGCTTATATACTAGTTATTTTTTTTTCATCAGTTTTCCTTTCCCTGATTTAATTAATCTTCCATATAACCAAAAGTGACGATCCTGAAATGTCCTTGTTCAGTTAAGTAGTGACTCCCTTCTGGCTCCTTACACAAATTGATTTGGTGAACACAAAAATTCAGTCTAAGCCTCCTCTATGGCTCTAAGGTGCTGAGAGAATTCTTAGGGCTCCCAGCAAGGGTATAGAGAATTTAGTTTCCTACAGACCAAAGAGGTGGAGACCCCTGGTTTCAGTGTATTTGGCTATATGAACTGTCTGCAGGACCAGTGTTTTTCTTTCTTCTGTTTTTTTTTTCTCCCTTCCCCTCTTAAAGGAAGTCTCTGCCAAACTATGTTCATCTTCCTACTACTATTTATTGCAAAAAATACTATTTTTTACTATTTATTACAAAAAGTAAATGAAAAGTAATAGAAGCCTAAACTAACTCCTATATTAGTGGGCAGTCTATGGTTTAGGGAAGGCCATGCACAAGCTGTATTTTCTGGTTTGAGTTTCGGTGGGAAAGAGCAAGGGTTGTACCCCAGTCAGAGAAAGGGGAGGATCCTGAAAAAGCAGTGGTTGTCAGAAATCCCAGATTATCCCTAAAAATAGTGCCCCAGCTAATGTCCCAGGATATGGCAGAAGGAAGCCACAAAACTTGTTTCAGTGCCACCTTTTTATTTTAAGTTTTAAAGAAAACCTTAATATCAAGATGTACTTAACATCTAGAAACCACATTTTAAGACTTAAGAAGAAAAAATAATTCAGTGAATGGTAGCAAAATTAATGTTTTCTGAATATCTGATAGTGAAAGTTGCTTGGGTATGTTTCCTTGCATCAGTCATGCTATACTTTCCTTTAAATTCCTGCATGCGTTTTGTGATCTTATCCTGTAACAGTTACTGCTAAAGTGACCTGTGTATATCTTGAAGGGTTATTTTGCAGACCGCCTTGGATTGCCTCTGAATATTCCATTCCGCTCTAATGGATGTTTAGGAATGTTATACTTCAAAAGCCAAAGAGCACCAATCATCCACTTGAGGCTAAAATGATGAGAAATGTTAATGCCAACATTTTTACTCTGCTTAGAGAATGGCAGGAATCCAATCATTTGCCATGGCAACTGTAGACTTCATACTCACAAAGGGTTGAATCCAAAAAACTGCAGTCATCATCTGTAATTGTACTAAAGGGAGGATGAATATATTGTGAAACTCCTTGGTTTATCACAAAATTGTCTATGCCCTATTTTATTAAAGTCATTTGAAGCTTTTGACATTTTTATTTGTTTTGTATGTAGGCCGATACTGTGGTAACATGATGCCTGTACCCAAAGAAATCACCTTGGATACTAATGAAGCAACTATTCACTTCAAGAGTGGGTCCCATGTATCAGGACGGGGCTTTCTGTTGTCCTATGCTAGTACCGATCATCCAGGTATAGTAGAGCTCACAAAACAAATTTTCTTACGTTACAGATGAAGATAGTGGAGGCAGCCAAGGGCCTCTAGGACCTACAGTATTAAATTTTATTATTTATTATTACAGAAAAGAAAACAGAAGGACAGAGGTGAATAAATAGATTGTAATGTCTAATTGCTGCTAAATAGATTGTAATGTCAAAACCCTAATATTTGTGTCTCTGCTATTACCAAGGAGTTTATCTTCATGAACTGTAACATTTTTTATTGCAGCATATAGAGGGGACAATTATAATGGCATTGTGCACATGCCTAGTAGCTTCTGAAGTCAGACACACATGATCTACAGAAAAAAATATGTTTTCCTTGCTGTCCCACTAAATGAGGTCTTAACTCAAATATGTACCATCATGTCAAATATTTACCACCACACTCTCAACTGGCTTTACCTGTGGTATGATAGGTTAGTGTCATGGAAAACTTAAAAACCTCTGAGACCTTGAGGGCCTCCAGCCTCCATGATGGGGGTGACTGGTTGATGAAAGTTAATAGTCTGACATAGTGGTGGTCTTGCTGTGCACGTTCCTTTTAATAGAGATGCAAAACTGTTTTTTTGGGGGGGGAGAAAAGTATGAGAAAATCATGCTTGCTTTCTGTCTCTAATCAAAAGGTAAACAGTCAAGATGCATATGTGTAAACAGTATCTTGAGAGGCTTTCTTCATTCTTGTGCTCTTCAGTCAGGATTGCCTCTTCTTTGTACTTTTCACAGATCTCATCACCTGTTTGGAGCGAGCAAACCATTACCGAAAGAATGAGTACAGGTAAATGTAGACCTAGTGCTATCCAGTTGGGCTTACCAGGCTGTCTTTTGTTTAACTGACTTATTTGTTGCCTCTGGATAAAGTAACTTGTTTGCAGCTCATAACATGCTTAAAATTCTGATATCGATGACAGGAATGTATTCTCCAGTAAAGCAGTTGCCTTTTTAGTAGTAATACTATAATTATTGGAGCGGCAACAAACTGACCTTCCCAAGATAGATATTCTGGAACAAGCAAGGGGATACAGTAACAGAGCTCTTGGTTTTTGGTATAATTGATCAGTGGCATGGTACATTTTAAAAAGAGGCTGACCTTTGTGCTACTGAGTGCCCTTAAACTTCTGCAGTGCCAGTGGGAGTTGACAATATGATCCATCTTGCAAAACCATACCCAACAGTTATAAATATAATCTGTGATGACCAGTTAAAATAGTTCTTAGGTTAGTTCCTTAGACAGCAACCCTTGTAGTAGGTTGCGAAAGTAATGGAGTGTAAGCTAGTTGTTGCTGTGTGCATGGCCAACATAGTATTCAGGTTGCTTATCTGCAAAGCTTGTGTAATAGTATTTCTAGAACAAGCAGCATTAAACAAAAAGAACATAAATGTTTGCTACTGAGGCTGTTGGTGTGTGCTGTTACATGAAGTACACTAATGAACCTGAACTTGAGAACAAATTAACCTTTTATAAGCATGCTAATTTATGCTCAGCTAGAACATGCTTCTAAAAATATTTTTTAGTCTGTGGGCATATTTTATGTGCAAATCATATTGCAGACCATATTTTAAACAAACTTCTGTTATTTTTTCCTCCAGCAAATATTGTCCCGCTGGTTGCAAAGACATAGCAGGTGATATTTCGGGAAATGTAGTGGAAGGATACAGAGATGTAAGTATGAAAGATAAAAGAGAAACTTTGGAAAGATGGAGTGTAAAAGCAATTCCACGATTTCTTAAAACAACTTAAATATAATACAGAACTTTTAACATTTTGCTATCTGGTTTGTTTTGTTGCTTTTTTCTCAGCTGCATTAAAAATCTGAATGGGTATTGGCACCTGTACTGCTTTATATTTCCAGCCAGGCCAGCCAGGTGTTTATGAGCAAGATGCATATAATCATTCAAACATCTGTGTATTGAATAATAACTTCTGGCTTCTAACAACTGTGGTTTATTTTTCCTTTCTAAGTATTGCTGAATGATGTACTAAACTGTTCCTATAAGCTCAACTCTTTTCCT